GGTTGAATGTCAAAGAAGTTGATGGAGAATGAACTTTGGGTACCTGATTATACAATGGCACCAGGGAACTAAATGAACCACCATAGAGCAGGCACCTCTGCATTTCCCAGATTAACTACCCAAGACCCTTTGCTGGGTTTTTTTTTTTAAACTACGTAGCCTTTCCATTCTTTCACTGTGACCCTCTCCCTCCCAACCTGTATATAATGGATGACGGTCATTTACAAATCAGTTCACCCACAGGAGCAGAGTCAGCAACTTGTGCTTATTGTGGCCTGGTACTTAAAAGTCAAGTGGCTGCGAGGGGTATGAGTTACACTGAGAGACAGCATTTTCCTTTCCCTCAACATCTGGTAATGCTTCTCCCAATCAGGCAGCTCTAGGTCAGCTATTTGGGGGGAGAACCCTTGTGCCACACATGGATTCAGTAATTACATAGTCCATGCCACTGGTACTTCTCTCCTCCCACTAGCCCCCTGTAGGGGGAGAGGTGGGAAGGTGAGTCTGTGAAATCACGGCTGTGTAAGATGAGGGTGAGTACTGAATCTACTTTTGCAAATGGTGGTGCTGTGGGAGATCTGCTGATGGGCCAGTTTCTAGCAGAGCAGGATGGTGCCTAGACTGATGTGTGCTAGGCTCCACTATACAGGCTAGGCTCAAGAACTGGGTCCTAAGAAATGCTGACTGTAAAAATGAGAATGTTGGTACGTTTGCCGTGGAGTCCTCATCTAGTAGAGGTGAATGGGCCATCTGGTGGGGTTGAACCAGTGTAATGGAGAAGAGAATTTGATCCTTTTTGCGGTCACATTCCACTTTCACAAACCACTCCAAGGTGGAGCAATCCATTCTATGCAATGAGCTTGGTCTGTGTGGTGGTGGGGGATTTAATCAAGCTAAGAAAACTCTGTCTCAAGAACACCAGTTAAAAGCATTTGGTACATGATAGAAATCTTTGTGCATACTTCATGGCATTTCTGTAACATGCCTTTTTCAAGTGTTGGCGCCCAGTGGAACATGACCCAGATTAGCAATGTAAATGTTCTCTTTACTCACCAACAGAAAGCATAGGCAGTAGTATCGCAAGTTTCCTTACATCATTCTCCCCATATACTTCAACCTGAACTGGGAGAGAGAATCCCTTGAGAGGGAATTCAGTCTCCAGTCATTGGCCTCGTTGCTGAAATTAATTAGGTATTAGTAATACTCCGCTCTAGGCAAGCACTTTCAGCACGAGCTCTCAAGCATGCTACAGAGGAGGTCAGTGTCATTATGGGGAAAACAAACCGTTGGGGAAGGGAAAAGACTTGCCCAAAGTGACCAGCAACCTAGTGGTGGAGTCAGGATTTGAACCCGGGTTCCTGGGTCCCAGACTGATGCCCTAAGGCACATTACCTAAAGGGTGTCTGTTCTGATGGTGGTTTTTTACATAAAACCTCCTCCGGCATATTGACAATGTCTTATTTCCTCTCGTGTGTGTGTGGCGGCTCTGTCTGGTCCAGGCTCAGCTGCTGCTTGACGTTAAGGATTCCCTGTGCATATTGCCAACCAGTCACTGTACAAATGAGTTCTTAGGCAGAGCTACGGCTCCCAACGTCGTCCTCGCTGGCACGGAGACAACCCCCTGGCTGCCCAGCCGCTGTAAATCCTCTGCTAAAGACCTGTTGACGCAGAAAGGCTACACACAGGATCATATTAAATATTTGCCCGTGGCTCTGGGTGGCTGATAGTGGTGCTAAATGCTTGGAATAGCTGTGAGCTAAAGGAGAGCCAGCCCTTCCTAAGAGTTCAGCCAGATCTCGCTTTCCTCCCATAAGAGCCCAGCTAGCACAGGCATCGTTACCTCCAGTGCTAGGTCAGTGTGGCTGGACTTTACTTCCTCATTCGACCAAGTGTTGCCAGCCCCACACCCGTGTCACGTCAGGCATGCTGGTCTGAAGTCCATCTAGCAGAAGGGTGTAGGAATGCAAGGGGCAATGCATTGCCAGCATGCTCACTGGAGATGGGCTTTAGTCACAAAGTTCAGAGTCTGGGCCAAAGTCCCCCAGACGCCAGGGGATGGGCTGGATCTAGCACTCGGGTTGGGGACCAGAGCCAGTGCTCGGCATAAGCAGACTAAGCAATTGCTTAGGGCCCTGAGCAGCTCAAGTGACGGTTGGGAGGGGGGGAAGATATTTGCTTTTTTAGTATGTTGGGGGAGGGGGCAAAAATATTCCTGTTTAGGGCCCCCAGTGGGCTAGCACTGCCTCTGTTTGGGACCTTTTCTAATCACAATAGCTATAGTACTTTACAAATATTAACCAATAGAGAGCAATGATTCAAGACCAAAACTGCAGCTGACCTCTGTGCAACTGGCCCCTCTTTCTCTAACAGCCCGAACCGTGATGGTGGATCCAAACGTTCCCCAAAGAGTGGGAATGGACTGAGCCAAACTTTGCACTTGGCCTTAACTGTAGAACACTGGATCTGAACACTGGGGAAGTTTGAAAAACAATTCCAGTTTTGCAGCTCCATTCAGCACAACTCAGTGGGACGCACATCACCTCTGTGCACTAGGTTGGGGGGTGTTATTCCCCCTCTACTGATGAGGGGAACTGAGTTGGCCAGAGTCTCAGTCCTCGCCACAGGCATGAATTTTGCTGATGAGGCCAAGTGCCACTGTAACGACAGAGACTCTCGTTTCCGGTTCGACAAGCAGGCCTCAGCTATAAAGAAATGAATGTAGTGGTCGCAGTCTGGATCCCTGTGGATACTCGGGACATTAGAGCGATCGGCAGGGTCTGCTTAGGGGCTCAGGAATGCAAGGCGGCTTGCGTAGTAGGTTCTGCCAGCTCCTCACTTTCCTGAGGGCTAGAACGCTCCATCTCCAGGAAAGCCTGTTCTTGTCCCTTTGTAAAGGCTGAATAAAGTGTAATTGTGAGTGCGCTTAGGCCACTAATTAAAGACACTAATTGACAAAGGGAATCCAGCCCCATGTAACTGGACTGACAATACCATAACATGAATGAATTGCGTGGTAGCAGGCCCCTAATCTCAGTCCCTCATCCCCCTCTCTGCAGTCGGGTTGAGCTGTGTTTAATAAGAGACCAGCCCACAGATTGAGGTCAGTTTTAAGTCGTCCCGTTCCCCCGCCCCTCCCAAGTCACTGGCAGCTACTGCTACGTATGAGATATCGTCTGGGAAGCAGATAGGATTGAACTTTCCGGTTCTGTGAATTCACTGGCTTATTCTGAAAGCTGGAGAGTAGCCAACACATGCGTGTGCATAGCAGGCTGCCCTTTAATGGCGTGGTCCCTTACAAGGTCTTTACTTTTGCAGGTGGCCGGAAGGTTATTTATACTGGGATACAATCCCATTGGCAGAGAAGATAAAGCAGCCTCCTATCACAGGCAGCTTTGTAGCAGGAATGAGGCCCAAGCATAACGTTTCAATTGGTGATCGTCTTTGGAAGGATGCAGACCATTTCTCCAGGTTGCTAAAGCTAGAGTGATTAAAATGAATAACTAGTAGTACTATAGTCGTGCCTAAATGTAACACCCAAGATCAAGGCCCCATTGTGCTAGGGGCTGTACAAAAGCACGGTCCCTACATTTAAGAGTTTCCTGCCTAAATAGACAATCAGAAAAAGAGTGGGAGAAAGGAAGGATTATTATCCCTGTTTTACAGAAGAGGAATTGAGTCACAGAGATTGTGTCTTGACCAAGGTCACCCAGGGAGTCTGCGGCAGAGCTGGGAACTGAGCCAACATCTGCTAAATCCCAATCCACAAGAGCATTCGTCCTCTGGAAATAATCTACTGATCTGATTTTAGCTACAATTGCTTGATCTTTGCACTGCCCCTACGATCCCAAAGTGTTTCACTTTTATACTAGCCATATGCTTGAATTGCGACGTTCAAATTCAAATTTTTCCAAAATGCAGGTTGTTTGGGCCCCGGTTTCAATTTGGCCCATTATAGAGATTTGGGCCAGTTGCAAAATACCGATCCAACTCTCAGCTTTCCCAATATTCAAGAGTGTTCAGTCCAGATCTAAGTGATGAATCATATCTACACTATACAGTGTACATCTTCAGCACTGAAACGCAGCCTCTGGAGGAGATACTAGTAGGAAGCGCACTGCACAACAGTGCCACGGAAAGGGGAATTTCTTTAACAAAGACTCTCAGGGTACGTCTACACTGCAATAAAAGACCTGCGGCATGGCCGTGGCAGACCCAGGTCAGCTGACTGGGGCCTGTGGGACTATAAAATTGCAGTGTGGACATTTGAGCTCAGGTTGGCCCTCTGGATCTGTCTGAGACCCCCTGGGAAGGGGAGGTTATCGCAGTGTAGAGGTACCCTGGGAAAATCTTAACTCTTACAAGAAGAGTCCAAAGATCTTTAAAGTCCGTGCAGACTGGACTTTGGTTTTAAAAGGCTTTTTGAAAAGAGCCCTTCCACACAGCACACCTCCTGGCACTCCATGTTCCCACCCTGGGAGGATGAAGTGCTGATTCAGCCTTCTTGGACTTTGAACCAGGGAGCTTATCTATGCCACACCTGCGGCGTAGCCCACTGAGGGCCTGATCCAAAGCCCATTGAACTCAATGGAAGGACTCCCATTGACCTCCTTGGGCTTTGGATCAGGCATCAAACCATCTGTCTCTCCTCAGTTAAAGGCCAATGTGTTAGGAATTCTGCTCACTTTAGTATCTACACCAGGGCCCCATCTGCTGCCCTTATTTGTA